ATGGCCTTAAATAGAGTCCCAATGTGAAATCTTATTCTAACTGAAATGTGAGTAAATACGTTGAAGTCAATTATTTATAATGTTAGTTTACATTTATATTGATTTTATTTATTTATAATTTTGTTTTCATCTATTCCCTATATGTTCTATCACTATATATCTATTAATATTCCTATATAGATAAAGTACAATTATCTACCATGCCAAGTTTTAGGCAGTCATACCATTATTATTATTATATATATTATAGTCAGCATATTTCTATACTTTCTTATGTGTACAGCAATATCTCTATATATGTAGCTGTAGTCTACTCTCTCTATGCCTATTCTCAATATATTCAGCATTATACAGCGTTATATACATAGACGCATATGCTGATTTTCTTCTATAAAATGCTTGCCTTGTTCCATTCGAAAACCCCGTACTCGTTCGTAGTTCAAAGTCTCATTTCATATCCGTTTTTTTCATACCAGTCAATACTCACATCTTTTATAATCGTTCACTCTCAATTATTTACCATCATTGTCGATTTCAGTCTTTAAATTATACAGTAGAAAGTCTTATCAAAATAATATTGTAATCTTAATTTCAAATACCTTTAGAGGTTGGCATATCATGTGATACTTATATTATATATTAGTCTATAATTATTTTTATTACTTGATTAATACGATTTGCACTATTACTTATTTTATATTTTCTTATATATGTATATATTTTCCACATTGATTTTTCGCACCTCCTTAATTTCCTTACTTTTCGACGGCTTTTCATTCTCCATGTCTTTTATTCTTCGAAGACTCGCATCACTTGCTCTTCACTTTTATTCTTCATCAATTCAATGATCCGCTGGTTTTTCGTATAAAAACTTTATTATATCTCTTCTAATTTATTCCTTTCTGCAGCTTTCTTTCTAGTCTCATTACAATTTAGTTCTCTCAATCTTGTTTTGTCTTTTCTGTACAGTTGAGCTTGTCTTTTGTCTTCGTCTTGTTTCCTCTCTAGTCCATATTTTCTATTCTCTTCTGTTCTTTTTGCGCTACTCCTTATTTCAGCTCATTTTCTCCATTCGATATCTGTATATATATTTCTTGTATGTATATTGTATACAAATATATTTATTGCTAATCGCTTTACCTTTTAAACATTACAATGTCTTGAAGTCTGCTCGCCTTACACCATTTGACCCACTGCAACCCAAGCCCTAGATATAGGGACTGAAGTACTCAAGTCTCTTGGAGTAGCCGATTCTCATGGTAGAACAGCTCATTAGCACACAATGCGACAATAAACTTGTGATGTTGGCTAAAGCTGATTCACTGCTGGGCCTCAGTCATATGTCGTCTTGTTGGCCTGGCCCAGCGGAAGAAGGAAGTGCCGCCAAAAACGGAAAAACGGAACCATCTGTCGTATGCCAAAGTTGAGTGACAACGCCGTGAAAAGAAAACAAAGGTGCAGGAGGAGAAACAGTAGCAGTAGCAGAGGAGAACCGAAACTGAAACTGAAGCAAAAACAAATTTAAGCACTGACCGTGCAGTTATTAAAAAGCGATAAACCCAGGGCAAACGCATTGGCGAATTGTTGAACACCTTGGCGACGCTAGGGGCCCAGCCGGAGCTGTGTCTCGAATTATGGAATTCTTATGCTAAAATAATGTGGCCACGGCTGCCACAGCCATCGATCGGTAATAAATTTGTTGCCCAAGCTCACGCTCTCGCTCTCTCACTCTCTTAGCTTAACCCCAAGACAGAGCCAGAGCCAGAGGCAGAGGCCGAGTCTGAGCTGGAACCAGTCCGGCCTCTGGTCTGGTCCGTTCTGCTTTGGCCGGGCAGTGGCAAAAAGACTTGATGTAAATACGCACACGGGAGCATGTCGCGCGTTTGTACATATCTTTAATTCATGAGCAGGAGAGGATCTGCCTGGCTGCCTGGCTGGCTGTCTGAACTTAGGCTCGATGAGGCGCGCAAAGTTGACCAACTGCGCGATAAGTCATTGAAAGTCAATAATATGTTACGCGCCTTTCGTCGTATTGTATAATAGCAATAACAATAAGAGCGTCCAGCCAACTCAGGAAGTGACTGCCCTGCATCTGTATTGCTGTATCTGTATCTGTGTGTCTCCGGTTGTATCTGTATCTAGAGTGTAGAGCTCTTCGAGTCGCAACAGTGGCGTCCACAAATGTGTGTCTTATTTATGACTGCAGCGCCTATCTGAGATTTGTTTTTCATTAATTATGCATCTGGTTGGCTGTTGGGGCCCCCGCAGTCGCTGCCCGATGATAAATAGCTCGAGATTAATAAGGCGCCTGGCCAAATGGCGTGGAAAACATGAACATGTGATATGAACGTTTATTAAATTTGTTTCTTGATTCATATCGGTTGGAGCTGAGCGGAGCGAGCTCATCGTTCTATCCCCTTCCCCTCTCCCACATTCGAATGGCATCATTAGTCGACTGTTTGCATAAATTATGACTGCGATATTGCGGCCTGGCAGGATGCGAGCGCAGTCAGGAGCAATCGTTCGTTTGATTATGTTATGTAACATTGATTCTAATCGCAACCAATCGACAGACCAGCCAGGCATTTAGCTGGTTAGCCAGTTACCAAAGGCACCTTAAGAAGGGTATAAGCAGCACTGTGAGCTGTGGGGCCTTCAAATATTAATAATTCTTATAATTGTCTACAAAGTGGCGATGATTTTATACGATACCTTGAATGTGCATTTGGTTGCTTGATCAACTCTTCGTTTATTTAGTGGAACTTTTAGTCTATTAAAAGACATGCAAACGGTTTTTCAATCATTTGTATCTTATTCTTTTGGGGCTTTATGATTTTTGAGAAACAATTGATTCTCAATAATTCCTACACCACTAAAAATTTCTGTAATTCGTAAAAAATTCTGTTCCCTTGCCATTTCGAATTATCGGGACTCTACTGTATATAGTAAATCAAACATGATTGACATGCACAGTGGATGTAATATTATATTTCTAATGAAATTAGAGCTAAAGATTTGTTGAGTATGGATATGTATATTAGATAATTATATAATCTGTTTAGACTAGAATGTTCTTTAAGGGAATAGCTTACTTAGAGGCTATTATCAGGGCCGTAGCGAGGTTGTTGATAATAGGGGGTGATTGTATTTGAATTGCCCACTTGCGTCGTGTATTTGGCTACGGCATGAAGATTTTACAAATAAATATACGTTATTGGGCTAATAAATATTCTGATGATGCCATATAGCAGAAAATTGGAAAAGCTAAAAAAAGGTGTTTCAAACAGATTGTGGATTCTGAAAAAAGCCCACTGAGAGCCTGCATGAAAACTTGGCTAAAACATAGATGTTTTATTTTACAACAGGCCGATTATTGGGCAGTCAGTTATATCCGTCAACAAGATTAGGATTGGTTACATTTTCCAATTAGAAACTCAGGCAGTTGCCTCATTTGACTACATTCTAAACAGAATACTTACCATTGGAAGAGAGAATAATTTAGAATCTATTTTAAAATTAAAAAATTAATAAATAACAAATACAAGCATTTTGATTGTATTCAAATTGTTTTTTATTTTAGTCGTGTTTTTTTGTGTGTTGTTGTTGTTTTTCATTTGCATTTCAATTTGTATAACCTAATTTGTGAAATTGAAATTTGAAGATATTAAACAAAATAAATTCTAGCTTTCAAATCGTTATGTCCAAGTCGTTAACTATACAAGAAATGTTGATTATTATCATTAGTGTGTCTCATTATTATTATAATTATAATTATTATTATT